CGTCCAACCTCTCCTTGCGGGGGCCCGGCCACAGGCTGCCCGGGTGGTGGGGGGGCGTCCAGGTACTCAGGACCTTGCCCAGTTGGTCGGCACGTCAGGGTGGTGCGCTGTGCAAGGCCGTGCTCACCTCATGGCCGGCGGGAGGGGCTGAGGTGGCCGAGGGCTCCCTGTGCCTCGGGGACTCTGGCAATACTTCTGGCACCTTCTTTCACCCCCGACAGCTTCTGCTTCAACTTCCGGGCTGAGAAACTCAGAGGTCCACTTGCTGCTGACCTGTTCTCTGGCGTTCCCCTATCCCTGCCCCGGGGAGGTGCAGGGGGTCTGCGTGACGGTTGCTCTTCGTGTGTGTGTGTGTGTGTGTGTGTGTGTACGTGCCTGTGTGTGTGCATATGTGTATATGCATGTTTGTTTGTATGTGTGCATGTGTATGTGTTATGTGTATATATGTGTGCACCTGTGTTGTGTATATATGTGTTAGAACATATGTTCGTGTATACTTATGTGTGCGTGTATATATACCTGTGTGCATGTATGTGTGTATGTGTGTACATTTATATGTGTGTATGTGTGTACATGTGTGAATGTGTGTTTGCATGTGTGTATATGTGTGCATGTGTAGTATGCACATGTGTTTATGTATATGTATGTGTGTATGTATATGTATGTGTATGCATGTGCAAGCGTGTATGTCTGTGTGCACATGTGTCTGTGTGTCTGTGTATGTCTGTGTGTATATGTGTGTGTCTCTGTGTGTATGTGTATGTGTGTTTGTGTGTGTCTGTGTTTGTGTGTTTGTGTGTGTGTCCCACTGCCTTCCCTTCTTGCCTACTACTCTGCTCCTGCTGCACCCCATTTCCCAGCCATCGTGTCCCTGGTTCAGGCTGCCCCCCAGAACGGAAGTGGACGGAGCTGGAGGGAGGCCAGGTGGCGTGGGAAAGAGGTTGGCTGGGGCGCGCCCCGGCTCCGACATGGACCTGACTCTGGGAGGCCGTCGGAAACGCAGGGGCCAGGTTCCGCACTGGCCTGCACAGTGCCCGTCACCACTCACTGCCCTTCCTGAGGCCTCCGGGCAGTCCTGGCGGAGATGCTCCGGGTTCCCGGGCAGGGTGTCCAGAAGCCACCGTCCATCTCTGTCACTGTCCTCTGCTCACGCCGAGCCTCGGGGCCACCCCGAATCCCACCTCCACTTTGCGTCACCCCCGTCAGCAACAGTCGCTGCCCTCCACGGGGCCTTTGGAACTCTGCCTGTGGGGTCCGGGTGCATCCGAGCTTTGGGGCAGGAGCAGGGCACAGAGAAAAGAGATTGGGGGGTTGGAGCCATAGCACAGCAAGGAGGGCGTTGGCCTGGCACACGGTCGACCCGGGTTCGATCCCCAGCATCCCAGAGGGTCCCTTGAACACCGCTAGGAGTGATTCCTGAGTGCAGGGCCAGGAGTCAGCCCTGAGCATTGCTGGGTGGGACCCAAAAAGGAAAAAAAAATAAGAAATGAGATAGATAGGGGCTGAGAGCACAGTGGGGAGGGCATTTGCCTTGTACCCGGCTGACTCGGGTTCAATCTCTGGCATCCCAGAGGGTCTCCCGGGCACCGCCAGGAGTGATCCCTGAGTGCAGAGCCAGGAGTCAGCCCTGAGCATCGCCGGGTGGGACCCAAAAGCAAGAGAGGGAGGGAGGATGAGGGAGAGAGAGGGAGAGCGGGGGAGGGAGAGAGAGAAAGCGACTCTACCCGTCCCCCAGCATCAGCCCCTGCGGGCTGGAGAAAGTTTGTTTCCTCTGACTAAACTGGCCCGGAACCAGCCATGGTCTGAGTGAGCACGACTGTCTGAAGGTCCCGTCACCCGCAGTGACAAACCACCCACAGGGCCCGCTGGGGGCGCGGCGCTGCATGGGGCTAGGAAGTGAACAGCCGTGTGTGTGTGTGTGTGTGTGTGTGTGTGCCTGAGTGTCTGTGATGTGTGTCTGTATGTGTGTGATGTGTGTGTCTGTGTGCATGTGGTGTGTGCATCTGTGTTGTGTCTGTGTGTGTGAAGTGTGTGTATCTGTGTGCCTCTGTGATGTGTGTCTGTGTGATCTGTGTATGTCTGTGTGTGTGATATGTGTCTGAGTGTGTGATGCGTGTGTCTGTGTGTGATGTGTCTCTCTGTGTGTGATGAGTGTCTGTGTGATGTGTGTCTGTGTGTATGATGAGTGTCTGTATGATGTGTGTGTCTGTGTGTCTGAGTGTGTGTATCTGTGTGTGTCTGTGTGTGTCTGAGTGTGTGTATCTGTGTGTGTCTGTGTGATGTGTGTCTATGTTTGTATGAGTGTGTGTGTGTGATGAGTCTGTGTTTGTGTCTGTGTATGATTTTGTGTTTCTGTGTGTGATGAGTGTGTGTCTGTGTGTGATGAGTGTATGTGATGTGTGTGTCTGTGTGTGTCTCTGTGTGTGATGTGTGTCTGTGTGTGTCTCTGTGTGTGATGAGTGTCTGTGTGATGTGTGTGAGTGTCTGTGTGATGTGTGTGTGTCTGTGTGTGTCTGAGTATGTGTATCTGTGTGTGTGTGATACGTGTCTGTGTGTGTCTGTATGTGATGTGTGCCTGTGTGATGTGTGTGTCTGTGTGTGACACTCTGGGGCCTTCTGCCACAGCCCAGACCAAATAACCTCCTCTGCTGACCATTCTTCCTTGTCCCGACAAGGTGACCAGCCCGGCCCCGTGGAAGGGTCCCTCACCCCCCACTCACTGCCCTGTTTTGGATTCTCGAGGCACCGGATGCCTCTAGGTCCTGAAACTTGGTGGCGTGAGAGCCCATGTGCTGTGTCCTCTGACGCCGCGGCCTGTGAACGCGCTGAACACAGCCTCTGCCCTGGTGGCCACAGGCCCTTTTTAGCTGGCAGAGAAGGGAGAAGGGGGAGGAGACTCGGGCAAGGGGTCCCGGCCACAGACGCCCACCCCGAGGGAAACAGCGGCCTGAGAGGGGTCCTGCAACTGGACGGGGGGCCTGACCGCCCCCGACCAGCCAACTTAGAACTCACACTTGATCTCCCTCCTCCCTCCCCTCCTCCCTCCCCTCTGTTCTCCTCTCTCACCCCATTTTTTTTTTTTGCTTTTTGGGTCCCACCTGGTGATGCTCAGGGCCGACTCCTGGCTCTGCACTCAGGAATCGGTCCTGGTGGTGCTCAGGGACCCCATGGGGTGCCGGGGATCGAACCCGAGTCGGCCGCGTGCCAGGCAAATGCCCTCCCCACTGTGCTACACTCCGGCCGCTCTCACCCCATCTTTCCCGCCCTCCAACCTCGAGTTAAAACGCTTCTTTGCTACCTGGGCAGGTGTGAGAAGGGGTGTGTCTGTGTGTGATGTGTCTCTGTGTATGTGATGAGTGTCTTTGCGATGATTGTGTGTTTGTGTGTGTCTGAGTTTGTGTATCTGTGTTTGTGTCTGTGTGATTGTGTGTGTCTGTGTGTGATTGTGTATGTCTGTGTGTGATGTGTCTGTGTTTGTGTCTGTGTGTGATTGTGTGTGTGATGTGTCTCTGTGTGTCTGTATGTGATGTGTCTCTGTGTCTGTCTGTGTGTGATGAGTGTCTGTGTGATGTGTGTGTCTGTGTGTGTGTTTGAGTGTGTGCATCTGTGTGATATGTGTCTGTGTGTGTCTGTGTGTGATATATCTGTGTGTCTGTTTGTGATTATGTGTGTCTGTGTGTGATGAGTGTGTGTCTGTGTGTGATGACTGTGTGATGTGTGTGTCTCTGTGTATGTCTGTGTGTGATGTGTCTGTGTTTGTGTCTGTGTGTGATTGTGAGTGTGATGTGTCTCTGTGTGTCTGTATGTGATGTGTCTGTGTGTGTGTCTGTGTGTGATGAGTGTCTGTGTGATGTGTGTGTCTGTGTGTGTGTCTGAGTGTGTGCATCTGTGTGATATGTGTCTGTGTGTGATATATCTGTGTGTCTGTGTGTGATGAGTGTCTGTGTGATGTGTGTGTCTGTGTGTGTGTCTGAGTGTGTGCATCTGTGTGATATGTGTCTGTGTGTGATATATCTGTGTGTCTGTGTGTGATTATGTGTGTCTGTGTGATGACTGTGTGATGTGTGTGTCTCTGTGTATGTCTGTGTGTGATGTGTCTGTGTTTGTGTCTGTGTGTGATTGTGAGTGTGATGTGTCTCTGTGTGTCTGTATGTGATGTGTGTGTGTGTGTCTGTGTGTGATGAGTGTCTGTGTGATGTGTGTGTCTGTGTGTGTGTCTGAGTGTGTGCATCTGTGTGATATGTGTCTGTGTGTGATATATCTGTGTGTCTGTGTGTGATTATGTGTGTCTGTGTGTGATGAGTGTGTGTCTGTGTGTGATGACTGTGTGATGTGCGTGTCTCTCTGTATGTCTGTGTGTGATGTGAGAGAAAGAGCATAAAGATATGGGGTTCAGGCAGGATGTCAGGGAAGGGGTTTGCTTGCCCGTGGCCGGTCCTGGTTTGACCCCTGGTGCCACGTGTCCCCTCCCGAGCACAGAGGGGAGTAGGCAGCAGGTGCCCCGGGACGGCTGGGCCCACCCGCCCCCTAGTAGGGAAACGGGGTCCCCTAAGCGAGGGTGGCCCGTGGGAAGAAAAGGCTTTTTTTGGGAGTCTGGAACTGTGGTTCTTGTCGCCTGGGCGTGGGAAACCAGGGCCTTGGGGTTGGCAGCTTCTGCCCACGTGCCCAGGGCAGCCGGTGACACCGGGCTGGCCTGAGGTTGCCGCCGTGGAAGGTCTGAATGCTGGCGGGTGGCAGAGGAGACGTGCGCGATTGTTCCACTGACCACAGGAACGGGGTGGGGAAGGCCGGGAGGTGTGTAGGAGACCGGGGTGCATGCAATCTGCTCGGAGCTCAGAAGCACCCACATCGCAAAGACTTTCCACGATTCCACGACCGGCCACAGTGAACAAAAGAAAAACCCACAGGAAGTGAGCTGAGCTGAGCTGAAGAGGATAAAAGGGGCCGTGGCCCAGGCCAGACTCACTCGCACTCACCTCAGCGCCGCTGCACAGCTCAGCATGACCCCAGCCATGCACCTCGCCCTCTTGGTCTTGCTGCTCAGCGCCTGTCTCCCCAAGTTTGCAGTGGAAGGTGAGCGGGCAGAGGGGGTCTGGGGGAAGGAACCGTGGATGCCTCTGGGCTGGATATATGCAGGACCAGACACCCAGGGGGCTTCTCGGGAGTCCAGCGACACCCAAACTTGCGTTGTATCTTCTCTCTCTCCCTCTTCCTCTTCTCTTCATTTTGGGTCCCACCGGTGATGCTCAGGGCTGACTCCTGGCTCTGCACTCAGGAATCACTCCTGGCGAGGATGCTTGGGGGACCCTGTGGGATGCCGGGGATCGAACCTGGGTCGGCAGCATGCAAGGCAGACGCCCTCCCGGCAGTGCTATCGCTCCAGCCCCTGGGGGTCACAGACCCTCCACCCCAGGACCGAGAGACAGTGTGTGACCGCTGGGCAAATTTCCTTCCCGGCTCTTTAATTCCGTGATGCGGGCTAGGATGGTGATCGGTGCCTTGCCCTGGCTCAAATCCATCTGGGGACCTTTCCAGAAGTTTGGAGAGGTCGGTGTGACCCCCATCTGTATGGGGGGCACGCAGGGAGGGCCGACTGGGCAGCTGTCCATGGTGAATCGTGTTTGCTGATAAGGGGAGCAGCTGAGATGTGGATCAGGACTGGCTTGAGGGGCGGAGGGCGGTCCCCTTCGCAGTCGGGAAAGTTCTCCTGGATGGAACGTTTGCTTGGGCGTGGTCGGAGACCAGGGGCTTAAGGAGCATGGATGGTCATGCCGGCCCCTCAGAAACCCAGGGGGACACAGGTCTAGGTGTGTTCTAGGTTCTAGAACCTTCCTCTCTTCCTCCTCTCTCCTTTCTTCATTCCTTCCTTTGTTCCTTCCTTCGTTCATTCATTGGTTCATTTCTCCCTTCATCCCTCCCTTTCTCCTCCCTTCTTCCTTCCTCTCCCTCTCTTCCTTTCTCCTCCCTCTTCCTACTCACTCACTCCTTCCTTCCTTCCTTCCTTCCTTCCTTCCTTCCTTCCTTCCCTCCCTCCTTCCTTCCTTCCCTCCCTTCCTTCCTTTCTGGCTACACTCGGGGCTTACTCTTGGCTTTGTGCTCAGGGATCTGTCTTAGTGGGGTGCAGGGGACCTAACCCAGCTCGTCCTGGAGTCAGACAAGTGCCCTCCCCGCTGTGCCATTGCTCTGGCCCCATTCTAGACACTTTTTTGTTTGGTTTTGGGGGGTTCACTCCCAGCAGTGCTCAGGGAGGACTCCTGGCTCTGTGCTCAGGGCTGACTCCCGGCTCTGTGCTCAGGGCTGACTCCCGGCTCTGTGCTCAGGGCTGACTCCCGGCTCTGTGCTCAGGGCTCACTCCCGGCTCTGTGCCTGGCGTTTTTTGGGAGATTCTGCCGCTTGTGCCTCTGGTGGAGACCCAGGAGGTGGCGGGGAGCTGGCTGCCATCTCTGGGTTCCAGAACGTTCTCCAAGCAGCAGGAGTCATTGGCCCCTGGTGCTGGGTGCTGGGTAGGGACGGTCCGCCGTGTGGATGGAGCGGGGTGGGGAGGTCTGGTGGCCATGGCTGACGCCCCGCGCCCCCCGTTCCCCCCAGGCGTCGGGAGCGAGGCGCTGACCAGGAGGATGTGCGTGCAGTTCAGCAGCAAGCCCTTGTCCGGCGCCCGCATTCGCACCTACACCATCGAGGAGGGGCCCCTGAGGGCCGTCATGTGAGTCTGCGCCGGGCGGGCGGGCGGGGGCACTGCGCCGGACCCCCAGACTGGGGGCGTGGGGGCGTCCCTGCAGGAAGGCCCCTCCCCTCCCCCTCCCTCCCCTCCCTTCCTCTCCCCTCCCCTCCCTTTCCCCTCCTTCCTTCCCCTTTCCTCCCTCCCCTCCCTTCCTCTCCCCTCCCCTATCCTCCTTTTTCCCCTCCCCTCCCTTTCCCCCTTCTTTCCCTCCCTCCCTCTCCCCTCCCCTCCCCTGCCCTCCTCTCCCCTCCCTTTTCCAAACCCCCCTCTCCTTCCCACCCTTGTCTCTTCCCCTCCTTCCCTCCTTCCTTCTCTCTCTCCCCTCCTCCCCCCTGCCTCCCTCCTGCCTGCCTTTCCTCCTCCTCTCCCCTGTCTCCCTTCCCTCCCCCTCCCTCCCCTTCCCGAGTGGGGGGGTCTGGGTCCCCTCATCTCTCAGCTGTCACAGCTCCAAGACTAGCCCCCGGGGGCTCCCCCCTCGCTGTCTCGGCGTTCCCCCCCTGCCCTGACAGACCCCCCAGCCCCTGTCCGCAGGTGTCGGCTCTGCCTCGCCATCTGACAGGACCAGGGGGCCTGGGGGCTTGGGGCAGGGCTGTGGGGACCCCCCCACGCCAGAATCACCGCCCCTCCCCCCTTGCTGGGGGGACCCGAGCCTGCCTCGACTCAGGGCTCACCTCTCCTCTCCCTCCCCCTGCAGATTTGTCAGCAAAAGGGGCTTCAAGTTCTGTGCAGACCCCGAGGAAGGGTGGGTGAAGCAGGCCATGAGGACCGTGGACAGCAGGACCCGCATCGTGTCCCAGACGGGGTCCGTGGGGACCCAGCAGCCCACCGACACCGCCGGGACCACGGCCGCCTAGCCGCCACCAGCCGGACCCTCGCTGCCCAGTGCCTGTCCAGCCTCCGATGCGCGTTTGCACTTGAATGTTTTTTGTACATGCATTTTATATTCTCAGAGCTGCTCTAATGAATAAATATTTATTATGAAGAACCCCCCAGCCCCCCAAGTCTCTTCCTTCTGAGTTGGGAAACAGGGGTGCTAAGCTGAGTCCCTTCCCAGCCCCGGGCGCGCTGAACGGCACAGCCACTAGGGGGCAGCACCGCCCCACGGCCTCTGCCCTGGGCACTTGCCCCGGGGCCTCACCAGTGGCCTCCCTGCCTCTGGGGCCACGGTTTGCCTCTGCCAGGTGCCTCGGACAATCCGAGGCCCTGAGCCTGCCCCAGGCCTGGCCGGAGCCCCAGGTCAGCGTCTCCCACCTGGACGCAATTTGCAGGGTGCATGGGGGCTTCCTGGTGGCGGCGGGGGGGGGGGTGGGGGGGATGTCTCCACATCTCCATCTCTTTGCAATGGAGAGACCAGCTCGTCCCAAGGATGCTGGGTCCAGGCACTCTGTCCCCCCCGGAAGGCCCTTTCCCCACGCCCAGAGGTACTGGGACCCCACGCTTGGTGCTCACGCCTCCATTCCAGCGGGGGCACCCAGGATCTGAGCGAAGAGGGATGGGACACGCCTGGGCTAGGCGGTGGCTGGGGCCTTTGGGGACTGCCACACGTGCCAGTGTCTGCATATCTGCCTCCTCCGCCTGCCGGGATCTGTGATTCCCCCACCTCCTCCTCATTGAGAGACCGACTCTGTTATCTCACAGTATGCAAATCTCTCTCTGTGGACCAAGCACCCAGCCACCATCGACAGAGCTGCTAGTTTTTTCTTTTTGTTTTTGCTGTTTTGTTTTGTTTTGTTTTTGGGGTCACACCTGGCGATGCTCAGGGGTTACTCCTGGCTCTGCACTCAGGAGTTACTCCTGGCGGTGTTCAGGGCTGCTGGGATATGGGATGCTGGAAATCGAACCCGGGTCAGCCGCGTGCAAGGCAAACACCCTACCTGCTGTGCTGTCTCTCCAGCCCCGAGATACTCTTTTTTTTTTTTTTGTATTGGGGGGGTCACACCTGGCTATGCTCAGGGCTGACTCCTGGCTCTGCACTCAGGAATCGCTCCTGGCGGTGCTCGGGGGACCCTATGGGATGCTGGGAATCGAACCCGGGTCGGCCGCGTGCCAGGCAAACGCCCTCCCCACTGTGCTAATGGCTCCAGCCGCTGAGAGACTCTACGTCAGACTGAAATAGATGCCTTTCCCTCCAAAGACGCTCAGAAGGACTCACACCCCAATAATCCTTCCTGCCCTCCCAGACAGATCTCAGACGCTGCAAATACCAAACCTGCCAAAGATGGGGAGTAGTGAAGCCTCTCAGACCTCCGCAGGTCTGGGGGCCACTGGGTAGAGAGGGGCGGGTACACAGTTCTCTTAGATCAGCCAAGTGCAGGTGTGGGCGCATGTGCAGAGCCAGGACCTCCGTTCCCTGCCAGGCCCAGCAATGACAAAGCCAGGCCCGTGTGGTCCCAGCAGACGTGGTGACGTCGCTCAGATGGTCTCGGGCCGCGGCAGGTGACCAGAGCAGCGGCCGGGCGGGCAGAAACACCGCCTTCACTCTCTGAAACTCTCCCGGCTGGGTGTGAGCAGAGTTCGACCCCAGGAACACCTGCAAGGCCCGTGTCCCCCACCTCAGTCAGAAAACTCAGCCCAGTGGGGAACTCATGGCCTGTCTTCTTTTCCCCCATTTGCCTGTGTTTCTGCCCACAGTGAAGGGAGCTTGGGAGAAGTTTCTAGATCACTCGGGTTCCGGGGATAGGGGGGTAACTTTGCTTGCCTCTCACAAACCTGCGAACAGACCCAGCGCACAGAGCTGAGCACGGAGATGGGGTCTTTGTTTCTCTCTTCATCATCATCTTCTTTTTTTTTTTTTTGGCTTTTTGGGGTCACACCCAGCAATGCTCAGGAGTTCCTCCTGGCTCTGCACTCAAGAATTAATCCTGGGGCTGGAGCAACAGCACAGCGGGGAGGGCGTTTTCTTGCACGCAGCCGACCCAGGTTCGATTCCCAGCATCCCATAGGGTCCCCTGAGCACCTCCAGGGGTAATTCCTGAATGCATGAGCCAGGAGGAACCCCTGTGCGTCGCTGTGTTGACCCAAAAAGAAAAAAAAAAAGAATTAACCCTGGCAGTGTTTGGAGAACCCTATGGGATGCCAGGGATTGAACCTAGGTCGGCTGTGTTCAAGGTGAACGCCCTCCCTGCTGTGCTTTGGCTCTGGCCTGGGTCTTTGTTTCTTACCTTGACAAAAAGCAAAGTAAAAATGGCCTAAGAGGGGGCTGGAGCGATAGCACAGTGGGGAGGGCGTTTGCCTCGCATGCAGCCAACCCGGGTTCGATTCTCAGCATCCCATATGGTCCCCTGAGCACCTCCAGGAGTAACTCCTCAGTGCAGAGCCAGGAGTCAGCCCTGTGCATCGCTGGGTGTGACCCAAAAAGGGAAAAAAAAATGGCTTAAAAGGAGAGAAAGCAAAGAAGGGTCTGGACAGAAGACTGTGGACCTTGTGAACCCCCAGGTTCAAACCCTCATCTGCACAGCCAAGAGGCCTTTTTTCACCCACGTTTGTTTTGGAGGTCACACCCGGCAATGCCCAGGGGTTCCTCCTGGCTCTGCACTCAGGAATCACTCCTGGAGGTGCTTGGGGGACCCAATGGGATGCCAGGGATCGAACCCGGGTCGGCCACGGGCAAAGCCAACACCCTCCCCACTGTCCTACCACTCCGGCCCTGGGGCCAAGACGCGCTCACCAACGACCTTGACGCTTCCGTATATAGATCCCGCCCACGTCACGGGGCACATGCCAGCCAGAAACGATCCTGACACCAAGTGCCGAAGGCGTCATGACTGTGATGGGGGTTTGCTGGTCGCCATCGAAGTCTTGGGCACACCGAAGTCACGGTTGGCCGGATCGATGACTCCCTGAATGAATCTGGTCCTGGCTCGGACCATCCGTAACTGCTTGGCCGAAAAGACTCTTTCTCAACTGGTCGGACCGAGTGTCTCAGATTTCTTGGCTTGTCCGGAACCCCGCGGGGACCTCCGCTCAATGAATGCCTTGCGCCGTGACGCAGTCTTGCTGCGCGTGGTCGTCGCCTGCCCTTATTGATCGGCGGCTGGGGTTGAGATGCCTCAAAAAAAGAAAAATCCATCGAGCTGTTTGCTTCTTCCTAGCGGGAATCTGCTGCTCAAACAGGAAGTAACAGGTCCTGGCAACCAGGAAGAAGGATGGGAAGAGTTAACAGCGTGACCCAGCAGGGCCGCTGCAGAGAAGACCAGGAAGGACAGACGGACACTCGGGTGCCAGAGTTCTCCAAGGGACGGAATTCACAGTAGGTGGAAGATGAAAATGGCCCAAGTGCCTGGAAGCGGTTGGAGAAAAGTTAAAAACAAACAAACAAAAGGGACTGGAGCAATAGCACAGTGGGGAGGGCGTTTGCCTTGCACACAGCAGACCCGGGTTCGATCCCCGGCATCCCACAGGGTCCCCCGAGCACCGCCAGGAGTGAGTCCTGAGTGCAGAGCCAGGAGTTAGCCCTGAGCATCACCGGGTGGGACTCAAAGAAAAACAATAAAAATGAAAACCAAGGGACTGGAGTGATAGCACAGCTGGGAGGGCATTTGCCTTGCACGCGGCCGACCCGGGTTCGATACCCGGCATCCCATAGGGTCCCCCAAGCACTGCCAGGAGTAATTCCTGAGTGCAGAGCCAGGAGGAACCCCTGAGCATCGCCGGGTGTGGCCCCCAAAGGAAATAAAAAGATGGGGTTCCAACAGCATCTCCAGCTGCTCCCCAATGTCCTCACCTCCCAGGGGACAACACCCCAAGTCTCTAAGAGTCATTGGAAACCCCAAGTCTCTTTGCTGAATTCATGATCAGATCAATGAAGGTGGGTGTGTTTGTGTGTGTGTGTGGGGGGGTGAACCCCCTTTTACATCTGAGGGTAGCACTGTAGCACTGTCCTCCCGTTGTTCATTGAGTTGCTTGAGCGGGCACTAGTAACGTCTCCATTTTGAGACTTGTTGTGACTCTGTTTGGCATATTGAATACGCCATGGGGAGCTTGCCAGGCTCTGTTTTGCTGGCGGGATACTCTCGGGAGCTTGCCAGGCTCTCCGAGAGGGACAGAGGAATCGAACCCAGGTCGACCACATGCAAGGCCAACGCCCTCCCCACTGTGCTATTGCTCCAGCCCACAACTGAGGGTGGGAGTTAAAATATATATATATTTTTTTGGGTCCCTCCCGGCAATGCTCAGGGGATCCTCCTGGCTCAGCACTCAGGAATCACTCCTGGCGGTGCTCGGGGGACCCTAGGGGATGCCTACGGGGATCGAACCCGGGTCGGCCACATGCAAGGCCAACACCCTCCCCACTGTGCTATCGCTCTGGCCCCCACAGAGATAAAAATAGTCTCAGGTGCCCTGAGCTCGAGGCCTGGCTTTCCACCACGCACACTTCCAAGGGGGCAGGGCGCAGAACGCACCGAGCACGGAGGGTAGCCCTCAGACTGGACTCGGGGAGCAGAGCTTGGCTGTCTGGGGGTGTCCCCCGCCCCCCGCACGCTCCCTTTATGGCTGCACGGCTTCCCCGGGCATAAACAAGCCGGAGCTGGAGATTAAATGTCCCGAACACGACGGGCCATTCGATTCCTCGTCGCCTTCTCCGGTGCCGCATTCCTGCACCGGCCCCGGCGATCACGTTTCCCGGCCGGCTGGAAGCAGGCCGGCTCCGGCTTGCCCGGCTCGGGGGCAAATACTTGGCCCAGACTCTGGGAAGGAGGAAAAGAAAAAGGTCCTTGCAAGTCGGGGCTCACCTTGCAGGGGTGGGCCGGGTGGGGGCTGGCGGGAAGGAGGGTGGGGGGTGTCGGCTTCCGTGTCCTTCCCCGGCCTGTGGTGTCCAGATGCTTGAGTGCCGGGGACTTTCCCAGCTTAAAAA